AGTTGACCTCCTTGAGCTGCCTGAAAAGTCTCAGGAAACCCCATGCAGCCGAAAGGTAGAAGAATGGTCCCATAGAGTTCATGAAACCAGCAGTCAAGAACGTAGCGACTTGCAAAGCCCCCATCAGATACATGATAGGCTTACTCTTGTCGCCCCAAGCCAAAGCCGTGGACTTGATGCCGGCGTTGACATCGTAGACCTTGTCCTGGTGAGCGTAGACAGTGTCGTAGATCATACACCAGAACCACTTGGAAGCAAACAAGGGACCGGCAACCCAGAGATTAAGTGGAGCGCCAACTGCAGGGAATCCAAGCAAGCAGCCCCATGCAAAAGTAATTGAAAGCACCGCCTGAGGGTAGTAGGTGTATCTCTTGAAAAGCGGATATGCGGCAACGAAAGGAAGGGAAAGAGCACCCAAGTAGAAGCAGTCAAACGGAAGAGAAAGCAACACTGCCAAACCAGCAAAGCACTGCACGCCCATCCAGGCCACGGCCTGAGGCACAGACACTCTTCCACTAGCAATTGGTCTCTCCACCGTACGTGCAACCTGGTTGTCCAAGTCCCTGTCCCAGATATCATTGATGGTGCACCCTGCACCTCTCATAACCAAAGCGCCGATCGTGAACAACGCAATTGTCTTCAATGTTAATGCCAACGGAGCAGCAATTGAGTATGCACCCATGGTGATGGCCCAGAAACAGGGCGCTAGCAAAAGGAGCGTTCCGACTGGCTTCTCAAGACGCATGAGCTCAGCGTATGGGATCCATTTTTCAGGGAGCTTAGCGAGCCAGCCGAGATTGGCCAAACGAGCAAGACGTGCTGCTTCCAACTCCTCTGGTTTGAATACCTTTTTGGTCACTTGTTTTCTCTCCTCGCCATGGTCTTCTGGAGGCTCCGTGGGGTTCTTTGGAGGTGTAGATGGATCAGTGACGATCGGTTGTTCCTTGAAAGTACCACGAATGAGAGGGGTGGTGATGAAGGTCCTCCTAAGAGCGATCCTAGAAGTAGGAAGAACAGACCGCCTAAGCGCCAGCGAGAGCGGGGCGATTGTGAGTCTGAACATGCTGAATAGTGTGGTCTGAAAAAGTCGCTTCGCGCATTGTAGAGACCAATGGAGGTGGGACGTTTGGGGATCCTAGACGGTGGTTTTGTGGAACAATGAGGAGTTGAATGACCTTGTTGGCTTTGGGTATGTCGAAGAAGGGGGATTTGGCGTTGGGGTTGGATTTTGGAAATGTGGGGTAATTGTGGAGGTATGTGCACCAGAGTGGTTGCACCAGTATAGGTGGAAGCAGGGTGATTCGGGGGAGGAGTTGATCTAGACGACATACGGCAAGTGGTGTTAGGTCCCGCTTAATGTTTCAGCTATGGTTGAGATCCTCAGCGTCCTTGATCCAAAGAATTGGGCCTCTGTTGCATCACATCTATACCTAATGCAACCCAATGGAACCACACCATGGGAACCAAGCGGCCATTTTGGTCAATGTGGTAAAAGCACCTTCTAAATCACCAGAATCTGCCCAGACTTCAGATCAAGACCTCTGCTAGACACAACTGAACCAGCCTCATAGTCCTCTCCAACCCCTGCCCACCCTCTCAAGCTTCCGCCCCCTCAATCTCACCCTTAGAACCCTTCCATACATAAACATCTTCTCCACCTCTCAATCCTCGGTCAGTTCCCGGGCCTGGTGCCGTTCAACAAGCACCCTCAAGTCCTCCAACGCCTGCTCTGTTCCCACACCCTCCACGGTCTGTGCCGTGAACGTCTGGCGACACATCGGACACAACCCTCGTGACAGCTCCTGCTCGAGCCACTGGTGTATGCAATGTAGGTGGAAGTTGTGGGTGCATCCTTTGCCTAGTACTAGGGGACAGTCGTCACCGGGGTATTTGCAGTTGGGGCAGGTTCCGTCAAAAGGGACTCGGCAGATTCCACAGAGCTCGTCGCCTCCGTCACCGTGTGCTGCTTTCCAGTGCCACGTGGCCACTCCGTGCCAGTTTCGTATGTGTACTTTCATCGGAGGTGTGGTGATTTAGATATTGGGAGGTTGGGTGATGCTGGATTTTCTTAATTGAAGGTGGGATTCTGTTCAGACACGCTTTTTAGATGGAATTTTGGTATTTGATGCTGTGGAATCAGTGGTTTAGTGGATTTTGATGGAGTGTGTTGAATTGAGTATCTGATCTGGGGTCTGTTGATGTCGCGTAGTTTCCAGTTTTTTTGTGGTGAGGCTTAATGCTACAATTAGTGTGAAATGAGATGTAGTCGAAAAAATCGAAAACGGTCGATTTTTTGGATTTGAAGAGTTTCACAGAATTTTTAGTGGCTTGAAATTTGTCCTTGCCCGTTTTTAGCGCTTCCAGGGCAGAATTTGGTGATTGGTGGAGGGTAGGCTGGAGTACCTAGTGAGACCCTGAAAAGCTACAATTTCCCTATGAAAAATTAAGTAAAGTTTATGCTTCAGATTAAATGAACTGAAGGAAAGCCAATTATGTGAATGCCATGCTGAAAATCTGAAACCCATAAATTCAAAAGGCATTGAATATTAGAAGCCGTGAAGTAGTTGCGTCAACTCCATCATACGGTTAACGTGCTTCTCCAGAATCTACAAATCATCCCAAGCATCCAAACCATAAAATTCATTGAAGTATTTCTATATTTGCATTATTAGCTTCATAATTTTGTAGCTTGTAGTTTGTGGTCTAAGTTGTATACTGAGGCATTCTGGCCAGTAGATGTCCTGATTGTAAGGCTTCATATCCCCATTCATCAGCTCCCACCAACGTCTCACCTCTTCTTGTAAACGAGCCCCTTGAAAATATCAAAGGAGTTTCCGTCCGGCTGCAACTCCAACTTCTCGTGGTTCCTCATATCCTCCGCGATCAAGAGTCCATAGTCACTGGTGATTCCACGAATCACACAGTCACGGACATTGCCGTCGCCAGCAGCGTCCAACACAACCCTCTGGTTCAGGTGGAACCACCTTTTGTAGTAAAGCGATAAGAACGGCTGCAAACCGGATCTCTGGAAAACGCTATAGAACTGCTCCATATTGAAAACAATCTTGGCAAGGAGGGTTTCGTGCTCATACGGAGGAAGCTCAGGCAAGCCCTTGGCTGCTCGAAGCTCATTGAGTCTCGCAAGAACACGATTGAGCGAGGTGGTGGGTGCTTCGTTGGACACATTGACACCACCGCCCCAAACGAGATGGAAACGGCCGTTCAAAAACTGGGAGTTGATCAACGAGCCTGAGATTTTGGCCCATTTCTCGTCGTCACCTTCCACAGTGCTGCTCACATCGTCCTTGTCACCGATCAGATTGTAGAACTCAGGCTTCAACGCATACATGTCATTGGGCCATTTGAGCTTCAACGGCATATCCTCGTATCCAGAACCCTGGCCCTGGACAGCCAGACCGTAGCCCAAAATCGACTCTATAAGCGCAAGTGCACAGAGGTACTGGAGGGTGACGATGATGGAGCTGTTGGACTCGCCCTGGGGGAGTCTGAACAATATGGATGTGGCCATGACACCCTTGGGGTTGATCCAGACGTTTCCACCACGTCCCCTTCCGGCAATTTGCGTAGTTGCGGTGAAGGTGAGTCCGTGGGGGAGGTGTTCGAGCCAATTGGGGTTTTTGTCGAGGAGAGTGTTTGTGGAGGTGACGACTTCTCCGTAGCCTAGAAGCTGGCCGATCTGGCCAATGGGCTGGTTGTTGGCGTCGTGGAGATGCTTCAATTCGTCAAAGTACTTGGCCATGCTGAAGTACGGCGTCTGGGCGTGGCTGGGGAAGGCCTGTGAGGTGAAGAACTTGAGGTGTTTTGGAGCAGAAACCACCTGGTCAAAGGACTGCTCGCCGTCCATTTCCGTGTCTTCGGTGATATCCGAGTCCTTCTCATCGTGGAGCACAAACGTGTCGTTGATGTCCTCGAACGTGGTTCCCGAAACAAACTCCATTTTGTCCTGGAGCGTGCTGAGCAAGTTTCTGGCGACACTAGGGTCCATCAGGGACGACAAAAAAATAGGCGTAAGACGAGGCACGGCACCGTCGACGTCGCCGTTTGTCTTGAGCCCCATTTTGTCCAAAACCGCCCGCAAAAAGAGCTTTCTTTCATGGTCGTTCGCCTCAATCAGCTCCACCACCAGCGCAAAGTGCTCGTCGTCGCCAGCCTTCATGAGCGGCGGCAGAAACTCAGGATGCGTGCCGAAAAGAACAGCACAGCCCTTGCCGACTTTGCAGTAAACGCCGGCTGCCATATCGGTATCTTCAAGATCAGCCTGAGGAGCAGCGTAACGGGCCAAAACCTCCACGTTGCGCTGTTTCAGGGCATCCACGAAAAGCCCGCCTCCGTTGTAGTAAACAGTCGCCTCCTTCGGGCTCAGGGGCAACGCTGACGTGTTCACAGCCATGGTGACCGCCTTGCTGCCCTTATGAGACTCATAGTCGAATCCCTTGTAGACACAGCCCCTTGCGATGCCGGGAAAGAAGCCGAGCTCTCGAGGACCGCTGACCTCCATTTTCGGGTCGCCTTCCTCGAACTCACACCGTTTGGCAGCGTAGTATCCTCCAGCACAGAGCCCCAAGTACCGTCCTCCCTTTCTGACAAACTGGGTGATCTTCAGGTTGCCGGCGCCGTTCAAAACATCACAGTACGGCAAATCAGCGCCTCCTGGAACCACCAACATCAGCGTCTTGTACTGCCAGGGGTCGCCCAAAAGCGACTGTTCAGAAACCGTCACCACAGCGTAATTCGGAGAAAGATGGAGTCTGAGCGACTCGACGGTGTGCTTGACCAGCTCGGGCGTGGTACCTCGGCCCAGGTAGACGAGCACGTTCATGGAAGAAAAACGGACTTTTGCGTTTGCAAAGTGGCGGAGGCAGCGGGTATTTATACTCCGAAACACTTTCGTGGGGGTGATTCAGTGGAAAAAAAGCCCGTTGCGAGTCATCTGAGTCAAGTGCGACTCAGCTTAAAAAAGCCTGAATCAGTGTTAGTCAATGGACGCGATGGACCAGGAAAAAAGCGTTGTTTTGGACCCGACGGGCGGGTTTGTGATAAAGACGAGGATTGTTGAGGGCGACGCCAAAAGGCCATATGCTACAAAGGTGTTTCTCAACGTCTGTCATGATCTCCAGGTTCCTAGACCTCCAGGTGAGTTCGTTCCAGAACAGGTGTTTCCGCTAATTGTCAAGAACGAGTGGGAGATTCCGCTAATTGTATCGCCGGAAAAGACAGACAAGGACAAGAAGGGCGTGCCGTCGCTAGTGTACGATTGCTGCATCAACACAGACTGTTTTTCGTGGGTCCAGGTCAACAACGACCTCAAGCTCATCTTGATCGAATGGTGCATTGAGTCCGTGGAGCTCATGTACGGGCTTGTGCTTGACCGGAGCTACAGCGTGCCGAAAATGCTCAGCAAGGGCGAGCTTCTGAAAACAGAGGTTTCGGAGGAAGACCTCAAGGGAGGGCTTCACAAGAAGATGCAAGAGTTGAAGCAGAACGAGGTTCTTGGGCTTTTGGACGAGCTCGAGCCGGAACCGGAGGCCCACGGCGAGCTTCCGGATTTGATGAACATTGACGGAAAGAAGAGCAGGCCGTTGATTGAGGAGGTAGGCGAGATGTCCTTGGAGCCGAAAGTAGAGAAGACAAAGAGAGTTGAGGTAAAAGCTGCTGGGGGCGCTCAGGCCATGGAGGTGGCTGTATCCTCGAAAAAGCTCGACGACGGCGACTTTGTGCTTACGTTTACGTCTCCCCAGCTTTCTCCAGAGGTGGATACGGATTTTCACGATGGGACGTTTGCGCTCATTAATAAGAACCCGGCGGTGAAGCTAGGGAAAAACAATAGGCTCGAGATTCCGCTTCCGGCGGGCTTCAGCCCGTATAGGGTGTTCTTCAGCACGAGCGAGTCGGCCTTGTACGTTTTTGCCCGGAGGTGAGCTACATTATGAATTTGAGGTTTCAAACAATTATATTGGAGAAAAAGTGGGTGGTTTCATCAGCGGTGCACCAATCCGTGGAGCAAGGAGCTCAGATCCTTTAGCAAAACCAGCGGAGCATCAAATTCCTTAATCTGCCCGTCTGCCAAGCCCAAGACCTTGTCCAGATCCAACACCGTCTCGGTTCTGTGAGCAATGGTGATCACCGTCTTACCAACACCTTTCTTGGCGATCACTTCCCGAACAAGCTTCTCCGTTTCGAGATCCACAGAAGCGGTGGCTTCATCCATAAGCACGATGCCAGAGTCCTTGAGAAGCGCCCTGGTCAAACACAAAAGCTGTTTTTGGCCTCCAGAGAAGTTGGATCCTGCCTCTCCAACCTTGCTGTCTAACCCACCAAGAGACTCAACGAATGACTTCAAGTGGGAGTCAGCTAATGCCTCCCAGATAGCATCGTCCAGGTACTCGCCCAAAGGATCGATGTTTTCACGGATGCTGCCCACGAAAAGCAAGGAATCTTGTGGAATGATCCCGAGTCCTGCTCTGAGATCCTGGAGCCGAACGTCCTCTACATCAATACCACCAATGAGGAGTCTGCCTCCGGTAGGTTTGAGCATTCTGAAAAGAGCTAGAACTATACTGCTCTTTCCGGCTCCGGTTCTGCCAACTATGCCGATTTTCTCACCGGCCTTGATGGTCAAGTTGAGGTTCTTAAGCACTGGCTGTTCGTCGTCCTCGTATGTTGCAGAGAAATTCTCGAATACGATATCGCCCGAGGGCCAGTTAGATGGAATGTCCACTTTCTCCCTGCGGTTCTCCTCTGCTTCCAAATTGACAAACTCCAAACATTTCTCCACAGGAAGGAACTTGGAGCTCCAGCCGGAGTGAATCCCAAGCAACAGTTTGAGGCCGCTGGCTACCTGCTCGGCATAACTCAAAACAAATACGGCAAGGCCACCAGAAATAGTGCTTCCACCCCAAAGAACAAAGGACAAGGAGCAGGAAAGCACAATGGCCGAAGTGAAGAACAGAAGCCTCACCGAAAGCCAATTGAGCAATAAACTCGACAACAAAGCGGACTGAGCCTCGAAGTCACTAGCTGCATGTTGCCTCTGAGCAAAATAGCCAATACTTCCGTAAGCTCTGATGGTTTCTGCACCGACGTATGTCTGCTGGGCAATCGAGGTTATTGGAGCTCTAGATGCCAGGCTAAGCTTGGAAAACTGTGTTTGAGCAGCTGAATGGGTACTTTGGTAGAAATAGATACCAAAACCGACAAGGATCAAGAAAGGAAACGCCGCAGGGGTATTGTACGCAATTATAGCGACTGTGGTGCCTGCGGTGATAAGAAGCTCTAATCTGCTGAAAATGAATTGTGGAATCGGTTCGATATCTGCACAATCTTGGTTGAATCGGGAAATGATATCGCCAACCTGAGTCTTGTCGAAAAACCGCATGGAAGTTCCTGCAAGTCCCCGGGCCATTCTTCTGAAGTAGCGGTTTCTGACCGTGATGGAGAACTTGAGAAGGTCAAACCAAGCTTTCAATAATCCCGCCAATTCGGCTACAACCCCACCAATTGCATACCATACAAAGCTGTATTGGCTGCCATCTACCCATTTGGCTAGCTGCCTTTCTGAACCTACCTCAAGTGGTCCCTTTGCTAGACTGAGAGTTACGGCTGTCACAATCAGGAGAATGGAGAAGCTGTCAGCATAGTCAGCAATGACACCTTTGGGAAGGTTTGTCTGGGCTGGCTGGGATGGTTTTTCCTCCTTGGGTTCTGTTTTCTGGAGATGTTCCTTGAGCGGGTCTAACTCGAGTTTGGCCTTCACGGGACGAATCTTGATTTCTGGGGCAGACGTCGTCAAAGCTTTAAATTCTTGACCTGAGATGAAACCGCTCAATTTGGGATGCTTCACGGCTTCATCGAAACTGACAACCTCCTCAATGACTCCCTCCTCAAGGAACACAAGCTTCAGAGAAATACTGATCAACCGATCGTTGTTTGTAGAAGCTATCACCGTTTTGCCATCCAAAAGCCCACCGGGCACAAACAAACTCTTCATGAGCTCGAATCCCACATGGTTATCCACAGCGCTGAGCACATCATCCAAGATGTAAATGTCAGCACCAGAGTAGACGGCTCTGGCAAGAGCGATTCTAGCTTTTTGGCCACCAGAAAGATTTATGCCTTTCTCGCCCACAAGCACTAGGTCGTTCTCAGGAAAACGGCTGATATCTTCGTCAAGCTGGCAGGCAGTGAGAACAGCTTTGTAAACGGGCTCATCGTACTGAAGCCCAAAAAGAACGTTTTCACGCAATGTGCCACTGAAAATGCTTGGGTCCTGGCCTACATAGGCAACCAGACCATTTCGGGTGATTTTGGAATCGATGGGCTGAAGCTCACCAAGAATGGCCAACAAAAGCGCAGTTTTGCCCAGCCCAACTTTGCCCACAACACTGATCGTTTCGCCTTTCTTCACTTGCAAGGTGATGTCATGCAAGGCTCTTTTGCCGCTTTCAGTCCAGTCGAAAGAAACACCCAGAACGACCACTGCATTGTCAGAATCATCAGTCAAATGGTTGGACTCAAGCTCAGGTGCATTCAAAAACAGGGCCACATTGGAGAAGGCTGTTCTCGTCCGTCTGAAAATGTTGATGGTCATGGGAAACATGGTGATAGAGCGCTCCACTTTCTTGAGCAACGACTCAATAGGGTAAAGTGCCTCTGGGGTGAGGTGAGCCTTCGAAACGTATTTGAGATAAGAAAGTGTCGTAAGTGAGACAATGAAGCTTTGACTGGTCCAAATGAGTCGGCAGAGATTGGAAGTCATGATTGATTTCCGCTCCACCGCTGTCACTTCTGTTTCCTGGGCCTCGATCAACTTCTCCAGAAGCACATGCTCCCAGGCATAGAGTTTGACAGCCTTGATGGACGCAAAAAGGTCGTTGATCCGCTGGGTCTGCTGAGTGTCGACAGTTTGAGTCTCTTTCCTGGAGTTGGACAGTTGACGAAGTGCGTATTTGTTGAGCGGAACAAAAAGAACCAATGCAGAGATTCCAACAATCGAGGCGAAACCAAGCAAGTTCCAAAGGGCAACCAACGAGACAATCGCACTTGCATCCATAAACGCCGTCGCGATAAGGATGTAAGGAGCCAATGTTATATCTGAAAGGCCTGAAGATAATAAGGTGAGAACCTTGCCCACGGGAAACTCTTCTCTGGATTTGGGTGATAAACGAACGATCTTCTTGTAAACAACGGCCTCCACCGACTTCAGGACCATGGTTCTGAGCTTCCTTTCGCTCAATGAAAAGAATGCGTCTGCCTGGCTCTCTAATAAAGAATTGAAGAATATGGCAAATGCAAGGAAAATGCCGTGAGTCAACTCTACTTGCTCGCCATGATATCTCTGATTCACGACATGAATAAGCTTACCAATGAGCCATGGTTCCAGAAACCCGAGCAAGGCGCTAGCAAATTTGAAAAAGAAAGCAGCACCAAACTGCGAAGGAAACGATTTGATAAGGGCGAAAAAGAGCGTTTTGGCTGTGAGATCGCTGCCGAGGTTCTTCTCCAACTCCAATGCATACCGTTCCGTGTCCACCTTGAACGAATCATCCTGGAGGTCCTCATACTCAATCTTCCCGTTCTTTTTGATGCTTTTGATAGCATTGTTCAAGTTCGAGCCGCTGGCTTTTTTGAGGAAGCTCTTGCCCCAACCTGGCCATCTGACGAAGGTCTCCAGAAGAATAAGAGCAGCAAGCGTAAGCGAGATCACATCGAAGGAAGCAGATCTCCAGAAAAGCCACGACACCGCCAAAGCCTTCAAGGCCAAAATTGCCAGGTAGAAGGTCTTGTCCAGAGTCACAAGCAGCAGTGGGATAGCCACAAATAAGCCGATGGAGTTTTTTGGACTTGCCGATTTTGCATCCAAGCCCTGGTGTGCAACAAGGAGCGTTGCTAACACACTGAGGACGTTTCGAGCCAAGGAAGCAGGACTTGGCCTGAAGGCAGCTAAGTCTGATTTGGCCATGGTTGGGAAGACAATGATTCGAGCCGGTTTATAAGGCTACGGACGCGCTTAAGCGAGATGCATGGACATGCACCCGCACATATGCCTCAGGGTAGATTATGATATTGTGTTGGCAGATTTTGAGGATTTGATTGGCGACGCAAGACGGAATTTACTTAGCGTTGGGATTGGAGACTAAATGATTATTGAACTTCCTACCACCGTCATATTGACCACTCGACTGGACCAATTGCGGGTTTGACGCGGTGCATGCGGCTCGCGTGGCTCCAGGATGCTGATAACGAAATGTGGCGTCGGATGTTCAGAAGAGGCACAAGAAGCGAGTTTTGAATGGTATTTGAAGAACACAATCACGAACCGTGTATCCTGGGGTTTGTGTACCCATCAGTGCAACTTCCTTGAATCGTTGGCACATTGTCAGCCCGTTTGTCGTTGTGCGCATGACAGCTATATTGATAGGGAGGTGCGTCGAGTGGCACCTTGAGGGTACTCGACGACGTCCAATGGGAAAGTATAGTCGAGGTTACAATACCCGTTTATTGAGATAAGCTTATTTCATGTGATGGGCTGGGTTATGCAGCTTTCTTTGGCAGTCGAATGCAATATCACTTGACTCGTTCAGGAAGCGTATTTCCGAGGCCAGCGTTCAGCCAGGCTCTAGTGTGACCTTGCATAGAAGGAGTTGTAGTTACACAGGTGTCCTAATTTGATCAGACACTGAATTCAACGTTGGCGTCCAATTCCTTATCTATACTGTTTCTGTGCTGTTTGGACCATGAGGATTCAGTTAGGTGTCAAGGTGAGTTACTGTAAGCAAATCAACTTTTGATGATGTGTGGAGAAAATCACACTGCACGGCTTCACCTCATTGTCTAATTGACGAAGGATGCCCAGGTTGATGCACCTTTCGCGAGAACTAAGCCCGAAAGCCGAATTCTGCTTCTCCACATGTATTCCAAAGCCTGAAGATGTATTGTGGGGAACACATGGCTCAATTGCGGGTACACTCAACAGATGGAACCAACATGCTTGATACGAAGTGAAGATCAACATCCAACCGAACCATACCTCGGCAGTTTGTCAGCACCTATCCCATGAGTATCATCTCAAAATGATGGATCTCTCAGATTCCTGCTAGATTGATTCAAATGGACACCTGCCAATAGCTCGCACTGGATTTTCGCAGCCATGCTAGTATAGTAAACTCACATATATCCCACACACATCCACAAACTCACACACTCCACAAATAGCCATCTTCAGTACTTCTATAATTGATCTCTCTAAATGAAAAAGCAATAAAGAATCTTCCATCGGAAGCTACCTTTATCCACTCCATGCACCTAGTACGTATATTACTCGAGACATGATACACACTATCCATTTCTACATCCGACTTTTCACTGTCTTCTGGCCAGCCTAATGCAATACCCCCTTATTCTTCAGTACAGCTCAAAATATTATACAGCTCAAAACATCATATGAAAACGACCCTCCAAACCTCGATCCCTCCAGAATCTCACCCACACAATGGCTGCAAAACCCACCCCATCAAGTCACCCCAACGTCACCCCAAAAGCCACCACAAAGTCACCACCTCAAAAGCCACCACCCCAAAACCTCCATATCAATCCCCAAATACTCCTTTCCATCCTCCAAACCTCGCTTTCAACACCCCCACATTCCGTCGACCCTGCGTTGGACCTGCCTGTTACGGCATGCGCTAAGATAACGTCGAGGCTTGCAGATTCGCAGCTACACCTCATCTTAAACCTCACCTCTTAAACATCACCTCTTCCACCGAAAACACATGGAAGCCCGAGATCCCCTTTTAGTTCCATCACCATCGTACGGAGCTACTTCCCAAAAGGGCTCTCGCCTGGAAGCAGCCGTGCTAGCCCGGTCGCTGGCACCGTTGATCATCACGTTTCTTCTCCAGTTCTTGCTTGAAACAACCACCATCTTCGTCTCGGGCCGCCTCGGGTCCACGGAACTCGCCGTTGTCTCCCTCGGCCTATGTTCCTTCAACATCACCGCGGTGGCGTTCTACCAGGGCATGAGCACCTCGTTGGATAGCTTCTGTTCTCAGGCTTTTGGAGCTGGAAGACCACACATGGTGGGCGTTTACTTCCAGCGCTGCTCCGTGATGATGCTAGCGGTGACGGCGTTTCCGCTTTTGCCGCTTTGGTGGTTTTCGGGTTTGATTTTGAAAAGACTTGTGCCGTCAGAGGACCTTGCGCTACAGTGCCAGACGTTCCTTAGAATCATGATAATCGGCGCCCCGGGCCTCTTGTTTTTCGAAACAGCAAAGCGGTTTTTCCAGGCACAGCATATCTTCAACGCAGGCACGTACGCCTTGGCGGTCTCGGTGCCGCTTCACGGCGTGCTCAACTGGTTTCTTGTTCTCAGTCCCACCACAGGCCTCGGGCTCGTGGGGCTCCCCATTGCATTGTCCGTTTCCTACTGGATAAATCCCATCGTTTTGCTTTTTTACGCTGTGTTCGTGGACGGCACCGGGTGCTGGGGAGGCATCGACTGGAGAAAGGCCTCCGTCAACTGGAAACCCATGCTCCGCTTGGCTGTTCCGGGCGTGGTGATGGTGGAGGCGGAATATTTGGCGTTTGAGGTGATGACGATTTTGGCGGCTTCTTTTGGTACGACTGCCTTGGCGGCCCAGTCGATTGGGTCCAATGTCGGTGGTATCGCTTTCCAGGTGCCTTTTGCTGTTTCTGTCGCCGTGACGACCCGAGTAGGGCACTTCATTGGCCTTCAGGATATAAAAGCAGCACAGTCGGTGACCAGGACTTCCATTTGCGTTGGCGCTGGAATGGGCGTTCTCAACTTTGTCGTACTCTTCTTTGGAAGAACGCCCATCTCCAGTTTGTACTCGGACGACTCGAGAGTAGTCCACACCGCAAGCAAGGTTCTAGCTCTAGCAGCGATTAACCAGATCGCCGACTGCACCAACATCGTCACTGCTGGCGTGTTGAGGGGCCAGGGACGACAGAAGATCGGGTCGTACCTCAACCTCGCTTCGTACTACTTGGTGGCGATTCCGTCGGCGTACTTTTTTGCATTCAAGCTCGATACAGAGGTCTACGGGCTCTGGTTTGGGCTTATTTGCGGTGTCACCGTGCTTGCATTGGGAGAGGTGTTCTGTGTGGTTAGAAGTCGCTGGGAACACATTGTGGACGAGTGCAGCAGAAACCACGATGCGTGAGCCCACTATTGCGACGTTTGATTTATATGGTCGAGGGGTTTTGGGCTTTCTTCGACTTGAGCCTAAGACAACAGCATCCATGAGCAGATGCATGGTTCTTTTATAGAGATGCTCATGGGTGTCACTTTGCGAGGCAATGCAAAGTGCTAACTAAAGGGCATTACAAGCCACTTATTTCTGCTTCACTGTCATCACAGATACCCCACGTCACATTCTACAGATCCACAGATCTGGCTTTCAATCAGCCCATTCTGTGGAATTACTCCTAAAACTAAAAAGCACTCGTGTTTCTATATCCGGTTCAATTGACGTCTTCTCCACTCGTCATTGTCCTCAACATCGCCGTCATATCCAGGGTCCTCCTCCTCAAGTACAGCAGCATCCACAGTATCCTTCTTCACTGCAAGGGAAGAGACATTGAGAGCAAAAAGGGCAACCACGGCCACAAAGGAAAACTTCATTTTTCTGGAGAAGCAAATCAGGATTTTTAGCCCCTTAAATAGTTTAGGGGGCTGTCTCACGGGGCCGTTCGCCGATATCCCGGTGCCACAGCCGTTGTGCATTGACAGATTCTACTGGGGTTTGAGATGATACTAATGATTTTTGAAAGATTACACAAAATAGTTTTTGCGGAAGATTGTTCGATCTTCTGCTGCAGCATTATTTTAAATTGACATTTCAAGAAGGTGAAATGATTATTGTTCCACTGTGGGTATTCTCGCTTGCTAGTAGGGGTGTCTCACTTGCATAGAGGTGCGCAACGATAGGGTGCCATGACGTCATAAAGTAAAACAGGGAAACGAGCAGATAAGAACGCTTCTACTGAGGCTTTTAAGCTTCGAAAGCTTTTTGACACGTGGAGTGGTATTGAAATTGGTCAATTGATTAATTGAGCTGAGGGAAAGTCGATTAGAATGTGAGAATTGTTAATTCCCGGGTTTGAGACCTCTTTTGAGAAAAGAGCGGTCCTTGACATTCAGCACCATGGATCCTACCAGCACCATGGAACACCCGAGTCGGCTTAGTATCGCCAATACTAAGCCCCGTTTTTAGCCATTTACCAGCGGGTCCGACTCTCGTGAACAATAAGACCCTTATTGGCCTCATTGGCTGGGGAGGTCCTTAAGGCTTGGCACTGGTATATATATTATTGACAGTCCAAATGGCCTCCCTCCCTCCATAAAAATGGAAGACAGAGAAAAAGAATTCCCCAATTCAGAGCATGAATTGCACTCCCACAAGCCAGAGGTCGATCCAGATGTCGATCTCAAGACACTCACAAAGATACTAGTTCTATCGCTATTCGTGTTCCAGGCCATGTTTCTCCTGGTTCCAATATATCTCCTGGAGTTGGAAAAGAATCCTGACATTGCACCCCTCGTTATTGCTGTGCTGTTTTCACTTTTTGACTGTGCTTCCCAGTGCGGCTATTACCTTGGATTCAGGCCCACCATAGTCATTGGATTTAGCTCTATGTCATTGTGGTCAATATTGGCCTGGGTTTGCGAGCTATTCGACCTGACCTTTTTGCGCAAGTGGGCCATAGTCACAGTCTGGATGTGGCTGTTCGTTTGCATGGGCGCTTTCCACATGTTGTTCTACTATTTCAAGAAGTTGAGGGTGATGAGGTTGATAGGCATCTGCCTCTTGGGCGCCATATTCTCCGTTTTCTCCAACTTTTACATTCGCACAACTAGCAGCTACAATGTCATATTGGCTGCGTACTTTGTCTACTGCCTTCTGATGGCGGGTTTGTTCTACTGGAAAGCTCCTAATACACCTCGTTTATATGGAGAAGTCAGCTTTAAGACTATGCGGCCACGGATCGCCGGTTTTGGTCTTATAGTTCTCCTTAACTTCATTATGCTCAATATTCTTGCCGTCACGGGCTTCAATGGTGTGTTTGTCATGGCCTTTGCGGTTTATCTAGGTTTGAGCCTTTATCCATATTCAGGCTTGATTCATTATGGACATCCAAACTTTTTCAGGTCTGACCTCAGGGAAAGAGGACGCAGAAATTACAGAGAAATCCATGAGACGTTTTTCCCGTTCCTCGCCTCCAGTGAAGCGTAGAGGCTGGCTGCAACACTCATATAGTGCAACTTTAAGCTGGATATCACTTTTCATCATGCCTTTCCTCTCGTAGACAATAGGCCTTATTGGTCCTCATTGGCCATGGGAACGTGCGTACTTAAGGCTTGGCTTTGGTATATGTATTACGAAAAAGTTTCATTTATAAATATGGAGGATGTAGAAAAAAGACTTATCTTGATACCTGCAAGCTTGATTTAGACCTTTCCAGGGCTAAGGCTGATTTGATGAAACCTGTAAAGCCACTACTTCTTTCGATGTTTGTGATCTAGAAGTTATGGCCCAGGCATTTTCCCATACTTTGAGGATATTCCAGAAAAACAGGATGCTTGTCGGGCCGTCCCATGGTTTATAGGAATGTGCGAATTCTTCTAAGCTGCCTTCTACAGTGAGTATTACCTTGGATTCACACCTACCATGATATTTGGATCAGTATGGCAGCATGGCCAATATTGGCAGCACATTCACTAGACCTGTTATTTCTGAAATTTTTTTGGCAGCTAGCTCCTGGAAACACCACATGGTATTGTTTGAGGTTGCACCATTTCAAGAATGTACTAGTAATATGGAGCATAGGTTTCTCGCTAAGGATCAGTGTTAAGCCAAGATATGTGTACCTGCTGGGTTGATTACTAGGTCAGACTTTGGTACTGCCTCTGAATGGCTGCTTTAGTCCACTTGAAGGTCTCAAACACACTTGAGCCCAAAAATCGCTTTTAATGCAAGAGAAAAAAACAGCGAGGCCAAATGTTGCAAATTTGGAGATTCTTACTTAATTCTGCTAAATGAGCCCCAATCTCTTCAACCCGTAGTAAGCATTTCATGGATATCCTACTTCCTTGTTTAGAATTCTCGCTACTTGATTATTCAGTATGGTCATACCAGCCTTCGGAAATATCACTACTGGACGAAATCGTGGCAAAGAAGTTCGTGAGACGTTTTCTTAAAAGTAGTCTTGAAATTCTTACACAATAATAATTATGACGTTTCACCTGGGTTATGTGCCCGTACCCTCCTTTCCATGATCATGAGACAAGAAACTACCACAGACAATGCGTGCGCATGTAAGGCTTGGCACTGGTATATATATCATGTCGACAATCCAATGAAATTCAAATTCTATAAAAATGGAGGATATAGAAAAAGATTTTCCCCATCACCAAAATCTCCAGGAAAACGATGGCGAACATGGTATTAGCCAGCCTGAGCGCGAGGTCAACCTAAAGACACTTGCAGCCACCCTTGTGCTTTCCATATTCGCTCTCCAAGGGTTATTCCTTATGTTCCCTACATTCCACAAATTAGAAAGCAGTGGATTTGATCATTTCGGCATATGGATAATGAGCTTAGTTGGCCCCATCCCAGCCGCCTTGTATGGAGGCTATTTCCTTGGATTCAAGCCCACCATGGTCTTTGGATTTCTCGGTATGGCAGTTTGCTCGATGTTGGCAGGATTCGGCGAGTCCCTCGATCTGACATTATTCCGCAAACTTGCCCTGGTGACGGCGGGGATGTGGTTGTTTGTGACCATCGGACGCATTTACACGATATTGTACTTTTTCAAGAGCTTGAAGGAATTCAAGTTGATCATGACATGTGTCTTGGGCGGCGCAGTATCCGTTTTCACCAATGCCTTTGTTTATAAAGCGCTTCCCTACAACTTGCGTCTTTATATGTACTTTCCATACTGCCTTGTGATGGCTGCTCTAGTGTACTTCAAGGTCCCCAACACCCCTCGTTTGAGCGCAAACATTGGTTTCAATTCAAAGGGGAGAACATTGTGGCCAAATCTTGCAGGTTTTGTTTCCTCCGTTTTACTCAACTTCGTCATGATGCACTTTAATGGTCTCCCACCATTCCTATATGGTGTGTGCATTTTGGTGCACATGGCCCTCCAAGGTCTATTTGCGTTGCCGTTGATGCGGTTGGGACATGTTAAGTTTTGGGATACTTTAATCATCAATCAAACACGCGGATATACCGAGGAACTAAGGGAAATCTATCTTCCCATTGTTGCGCCATTTTGAGATTGAGACACCTATGTATGACAATTATGACACCTTAACGAATAAAATTGAGAGGATTTGGATTGTAGACATTTGGTTGAACACAGAGTGAAGCGTAGTTAGGCACCGTCAACTGCTTTTACACATCTCCCAATTCAATTTTTCTACGTTTTGGTGTCTTTATGACTCTAGTGTACTTTGAGGACTGAAATCGTTGGAGGAATACAGTAGATTTCGTACTTTTGCATTTGAAATCCTTCAATTTCACGCTGGTTGGCACTTTACCGATTTCTTATGTTGTTCAAGTCCTCTGGGTGTATCCATATTTGGAAAGTCTAAGTAGAGTCAGGTACCGCAGAGAATGACCAACCAAATATTTCTATAGGGTATGCAAAATAAAGTATGCTTCCCCAAGATGTACAGTGATGCAAGGTGTACCTCTACTCTCCCAGTTTACAAGAAGAAGTTGTCTTTTTTTCAATTCCACCATCATCCAGGTAATCGAAAATGCCAGTTTCTTTAAACCCTGGCGCACTCATTTCCACTGTTTCTCAATTTGGATGCCACATATTGAGGTTCCTAAAAAGACTCTTTATTGAACCCACTCACTTTCTTCCTTTATTGCTGGAACGAAGCCCAGGGTCTCTTGCTCAGGAGCGGGCGAATCATAAATTTATATCCTATGTATCGTCCCATTTGCTCTTCACTGGCTGTTCATTAATTAGTGAAATCTTGAGTGACCATGGGGTAAGTGCTCCTGTTTTCGAACCAAAGTCTTTCTTTTTGGCTTGTACGTTTGGAAAAATGGTCGAACAGTGGATACATGGATGGGATGAAAATCGTGAGGTTTTGTTGGCCTATGGTAGCCTGTTGAATGCGGTATGGTGTCTTATACTAAAACTCTGTGTGGGCTACGATCCCAAAGTCTTGCCTTACCTTACCCAGATGATCAACTTCTACTGGGTGTGTTTTCCGCTTGCGTTGGTTCACATTTTTGCATATCGGTTTCGGGATGTCAGGAGAAGATGGAAGGAAATCGTTGGTGCAGTGGCCGGGTTTTCGATTTTATTTAATGCCCTGGTTACCACTAATGTTCCACGGAGCTGGATGTCGCTGCTTCTTGGACCCTACTTTTTGATAATGACAGAGCGTGTATTATTACCGGGTCCAAGTCGCCTGGGTGATGCAAATGCCTTCAAAATCAAGCTTCAATTTACAGGTGTGGCTACTTATTTGATGACATGCCTCACTTGGGATTATTGCAGATCGTTCTTTGCATCTGGAGAGGGCTATCGCTTGTTTCTGGGTGTATGTATCTGTGTAGGGGTGTTGAGTGGAGGCTTGATTTTGGCCCTGGGTCTTTGGGGACGGGGATCAGATGGTGAAACAAGCGACGAATCAGATGAGTTCTTAAGTAATGAACCGGAGGCCCAGGACGTGGAAGATCGTAACCCACGGGAGCTTCTTTATGTGCATGTTTTTCAGGATGAAGACATAATTCTTCGCCCAAGAGTGACTTTTTGAGACCAGGGTAAGTTTTTTTAAGAGGAGGGAGGTTTTGGGATGTTTTCGATTTGTGGAGCAGAGATGACCAAGTACCTACCGATCATGCGATAATCTGCCATTATGTGTAGGTGAACAAACCCTGGTAGTGCAGATTTAAATATAATTCCACGATTATTATACTTCCCGCTTCATATCATGAAACCCAAAACTTCCTGCTTTGCCTTTTCCTACTAATTTCTCTCTATTTCTAATATCAACCAAATACTCACCATAAGACTGGGGTTGCGAAGCCACTCAATGGCTGCATAAAGTGCCGCATCAGGAGTGCACACAGACCTGTCATCTTCTATAGTGCGGCGGCACGTCAAATTCTATCCTTTCCCATTTTTACTCCCATGGATATTGAAAACAACATAGAGCAGCAGGACTCTCCACGTCACAGGAAATCTCTCGCTGTAGTTGCTGTTCTTTCGACGCTTGCGCTCTTTTTAGAACAGGATAAACAAGATGCCGGCCAAAATCACGATCTTTCACATTTCGAGGCCACTATTTTTGGGTGGTTACTTTTCATTGGCGGTTTGGCTTTCAGCTTCTCTTTGGGCTGGAAAATAGGAGCAGGCCGTTTGGTAACGCTTGGTTTCGTCATAATGACTGCCTGGTGTGTTGTGAAGAAGATATCTGAGAATCTAGATTCCAAGGGATTGCAGCTTTTAGCCTACATCACCAACAGCTTCTGGATATGTATTCCTTTGGGGATGATGAGTGTTACGTATTTGCACTTCAAGAACCTTAGAAGAGAGTTTTTGTGGATTTTTGGGGTCATAGTGTGCTTTATCATCTTCTCACTGGGAGGTGTGATCGCCGTGATTGGTAAACAGGATTGGCTTCTTTACGTAATGATACCGTACTGCTTGGTGATGATCCCTGTTCTGTACCTTTATGTTCCAAACCCTCTTCCTTTGGAAACTGGTGTGAATTTTCCAGATCTTTTACCCCAATTAGCTGGTCTGGTGGGGCACGTTTTGGCGTGTTTTATATGGCTCCAGAACAGAACCACGCCTGAATCGTGGGCAAAAAGGGCATTTTTTTCAATTGCCTGTCTCCTTTTCGACATTTTCAGTTTAGGATTGATGGTTCACGGTCCGCATGAAGAGTTGAAAGAATACCAGCGCCATGTTGAAATTTGATCAGATGCAAGACAGCGAAGTGTAAAGAGCCAGGCTTAGAAGGGCTTTTTCGTCAAGTGGAGTTGGTCATTGTACCCCAAAGGCAGAAATTTATAGTCCTAATGAAGCTGCTTCAGATTATCGATTTAAAGTTTTAGTGCAGGCCTCATCAAATGGAGTCTACTTTGATCAACACCACACCCCTTGTTTACTTTCTCTACTCATTCTGCTCTATGTTTTTACGTAAAAATGAAACGTCAATCAATAAAAACCAATTTGTCCATAGAAGCAACAGGAGGTGGTATCACAAAGCCTCATTCGCCGCGTGATTGGCCAAACGCAAGATGTGCACAGAAACCTGTCACATTAAGACCGTGCGGCATCTCCAATTCCACCCACAACTCCCCTTCTTTTACAAATTGTGGAAATGAAGGACTTAGAAACCATCGCTTCAAAAGGAGGCTTCAATTTGCCCAATGCAAACAAAACTGCATTGGTTTGGACGTCCATCTTGTCGGTTTTTGTCATGCAAGTCAAGGTACAAGTGGATGTAGAGGAACTGAGAAAGAAGCAATTCTTTCTAGCAGACCTAGGGATTCTATGGCTTATAATAATGGGAGCTCAAGCACTGACGATTTCATTGGGCTATTTTGTGGGTTTCCGGACTGTTGTCATATCAGGATTCGTGCTTGTCTTACTTTCAAGTATTGAGGCTAAACTATCGGTGTTGCTTGACTATAAAGCTCTTCAAAGTCTTGCTTTGATTCACAATTGGTACTCTATGAGTGTCATTATAGGAGTGTTGCAGGTGAACTTGTTCTACTTTGGTGGTTCAAATAAGCGCTTGATATCGCTAAGTCTAGCACTGATCCTCCTTTTAGTACTCTCGAACATCCTTGTGCTCATATTCGTTCCCCCCTGGTTAGTTTCAAACATATATGCATTTTACTGCTTTGCAATGATCGGCGTTGTTTCCAAGAACCTCCCCAATACTCCCCCTTGAATGGAGAAATTACTTTGCCGAAAGTTTTACCACATATAATCGGTTTTGCAGGACACATGATCACCTGTTTCGTTTGGTATCAGTATAACAGTGAATTTGAGATTGGTTCAAACTCGTATAATGTTTTTCTGGGTACCTGCTTTGTGGTGGGAGTTGTTTCTTTGGGGATGATTCAGTATGGATACCCTAGTCACTGGAAACAGGGATATTATGAGTTAAAGCAAAAGCTGCTGGAATTTTCCAAAATGTGGAATAATGGGGAAGCAAATGAAGGTTTTATTCAGATCAGGTGAGAAGGTTCTACCTGGAGTGGACCAATTCCCTGAATGTTAGATTTCATACTTTCCAATTGAATTTGAATTATCTGGAGTTTCGTACGTTTACATCAATGTAGGAGATATGACTGAAAGTTTTTTTGAGAAGTCTGTTGAGAAGTGGGTAATAGCTCTTCGGAAGAAATTGTGGAGATGACTAATATGGAGGCAGTTTAAAGAGAGCTACATATGCATAAATACCCATCACAAATGTTGAAAAAGTTGTTAGTATCCTCAACGCAATCAGACATCCTCACCACTTACTGCTCCCCTGAATAGCTGATGTTAAGTAATAGGAGAAAACGTTCGAAAACTCTTCTGATAAGCCGAAACCAGCCAGTAACAGATAATGTACAGCTTTTTTAGTGCTCACCTAATTTGTAAATAGGCCTATTTTGCAACACTCCACGACCCAAATCATCCTACTCGTCTCTATTCGCTACGATTCCACACAGATAAAAACAAACATCGCTAAAACGAAACATTCATCTATTTCAAAAAAATCAATATGGCACTGGAGCTCATCATTTACCCCCAGTCATCCGCAACTACGCATTTCAATGCACCGCCAGAGACACAATATCCTTTACCCCTGCAAATTAAACAAAATGTTTATTATATTTCTTTTTTTTTTTTCCAATAACCCCGTTTCTCGCCATCCTCCAGAATACCCTCCTGGTGGCTGCAAACCTACTATGCACACCGGCATCACCATGCGATGAGAAGAACCTCAGTGATCTAAAACACCACACATGCCCCGCAAGAGATTCGACAAGAAAAACGCCCAGACCTTCTCGGTGGTGCACAGGTCCCACGAGGACCTGCTCTACTTCGACAACGACGCCTCCAAGCACGTGCTTATCCCTGCTGCCCAAAGAGCCCAGGCTCAAGGTACGCTTTCCCAACTCAAGGCCAGAAAGTCAGGAAAACAAAGCTACAGCACACAGGAGCTCGAGGACACTTTGGGAAAAGACGCCGTTCAGGCGATGCGGGCCAACGAGGGTTTGGCGGCGCAGTACGGAATCTACTTTG